TATTTTAATAAGTTAAATTTAATAGAATTAGAAAAATGATTAGAGACTAGGTGTTAGATAATTAAATAGAATGGCATATGAATGAAATAGAGAAGCATTTAGATGTATTTATTGATGATTTAAATAATTTTAGTAATGTTTTGATAATATCAATAATTTTATTGATTAAGTATTTTTTATAGATTCTTCAATTTCTAAGTCCAGCAATCCTAAATTTGAATTAACTTTACCAAAAATTCATTAATTTTAATTAATTCATTAATCTGACTTTTAATCAAGAATTCTTTAACAATTGAAACCATTAATAAATTCAAAAATCAAAGATGAATGTCAATTCTAATAATAATAATAATAACATTAATAATCATTAATAATTTAGTAATAATAATCCAATTTAAAACCATTTACTTATCAGATCATTAAAGAACATTCAATTAAACAAAGTGAATTTTGTCTTGCAATTGCTTTTAACAAAGACTCCTCAATTGTAGCAACTGGATGTAATGAACAAATAAAAATATATGAATTTAAATAAGGAATGTTGAAATTAATTCAAGTCTTAAATCAACATAATTAATATGTAAATACTTTAAATTTCATGAAAAAATCAAATTAGATTATATCTGGAGATCAGAGTGGATCTATTTTAATATGGTCAAGCAATAATAATACTTAATGGAATTGCTCATAAACTATTAAAGGACATATTAATTGGGTTAATTGTTTAATTCTGAATTATAATGAAGATATTTTCATATCCAGTAGTCAGGATAAGACGATTAAGTTTTGGATTAAACAAAATGAATGGATCTGTTAATAAACAATCACAGATCATACTAGTTATGTTTATTAAATAAGTTTAAATGAATAATAAAATAAACTTATTTCTTGTGGAGCTGATAAAAAAATATTGGTGATTGAGTATTCAGAATAAAGTCAAAAGTGGATTGTGATATAAAAGATAAATGTTGAATGCTATGGTATTCGTATATGCTTTATCAACAATAATTTATTCACATTTCAACCAATATAAGGCAATTTAATGCATGTCTATGAAATGAATAGTGTTAGTAAATAGTTCCTTAAAACCAAAGATATTGATGTTAATTAAGGTTAAGAGGGTTATACTTTGTTTCCATAATAATTTATTAAATAAAAATAATTACTAGTGAATAAACATGATAAATATGTCAATTTCATAAGAATTACACAAAAAGATCAATTTAAACTTGAGTAATCTATTCAATTTGGTCATAATCTATTATTTGGGTAATTGAGTGATGATGGACAGTATTTCATTACTTGGGATCGCTCAAATAATGAAATATAAATTAGAACATATATTGAACAATGAAGAATATTTAAATTAATATTCTATTTTATTCCCTCTGCATAATTAAATTCATCAACAGAAATATATGCTTACTCTCTCATATGAAACCTGCTTACTCTTAGGTGTGAAAATCAAAAATAGTTCTGAAAAATGATATATAAGCCAATTTAAGTCATGAATAGCTTTTTGCTTTCTTTACTATTCATGATTCAGCCATAATTAAGATAATTTTAATAATTTAATATTCTCCCAATGTAACACAATTTAGATGCATAAAATTATTGGTAAAATTAAGAAGGTATAAATCTGCATTTGATTGATATTGGAACTTCTTAAAGACAGAGATTAAATGATATGCAATTTCACAGATCTTCTATTTTATTACAACTTTTTCATTTCAAAATATAATAGAAAAACATAATATTTTTCAAATGTTTTACACTTATATAAAAATATAAGAATAATTAAATTCAATAACTTCACTCTAAAAATAAACGGGGGAAATCAACTATGAAATTTTAAAGAGTGTAGAGCGAATAAGAAAAAATAATTCTTAACAGTACTTGACTGGACAAAAGTAATATTATTCCCTCCTAATTATAGAACTTCTCATCACATTTTTATATTATTAAATTTCATAATGGCATTGTAATTTAAAAAGATATCAATTGTTTTTATATATCTGAAGATCAAAATAGAGTATATTATTGTTTCTAATAATTCAAAATATCTAACCATATTAAGAATCCCATGACTAAATATCAGAGCTTCTTAATCTTTACCTTGACTCTGAATTCTTAAAACCAGACAACAAATAATAACGGACGAAGTTTAGAGCTCTAATTTAACTTTAGAGCTATAATATACACTTTTCTGAATTCAATCGCTTTTCATCCAACTGAAATTCCCAATTTTATAAAATTAAAACGATAACTCTATTATTCTACTATATTTTCTTCACTCAACAATTTGGTTAAAAAAAAGTCAATTTTCATTTGAGATATCAAAGAATGTAGCATTTTTTCAGGTTAAGTCCTAAAATATGATAAAACATTTTACTTAAACTTACTCAATCTTTATTGGACTATATTATTCAGTGCATCTCCAAAGGTCCATTGAAAATATCACCATATGACCTTGCACAATTATTTTCGGTAATTCATCCTTCAAAAAATTCTCTCAGCCAAGAGCAATCGATATTTCATTTAAGTTCTCTTAATAGTTCCATTTTATAATTCCCCNATTGTTTAATTCTGAATTATAATGAAGATATTTTCATATCCAGTAGTTCTGATAATACGATTAAGTTTTGGATTAAACAAAATGAATGGATCTGTTAATAAACAATCACAGATCATACTAGTTATGTTTATTAAATAAGTTTAAATGAATAATAAAATAAACTTATTTCTTGTGGATATGATAAATAGATATTGGTGATTGAGTATTCAGAATAAAGTCAAAAGTGGATTGTGATATAAAAGATAAATGTTGAATGTTATGGTATTCGTATATGCTTTATCAACAATAATTTATTCACATTTCAACCAATATAAGGCAATTTAATGCATGTCTATGAAATGAATAGTGTTAGTAAATAGTTCCTTAAAACCAAAGATATTGATGTTAATTAAGGTTAAGAGGGTTATACTTTTTTTCCATAATAATTTATTAAATAAAAATAATTACTAGTTAATAAACATGATAAATATGTCAATTTCATAAGAATTACACAAAAAGATCAATTTAAACTTGAGTAATCTATTCAATTTGGTCATAATCTATTATTTGGGTAATTGAGTGATGATGGACAGTATTTCATTACTTGGGATTGCTCAAATAATGAAATATAAATTAGAACATATATTGAACAATGAAGAATATTTAAATTAATATTCTATTTTATTCCCTCTGCATAATTAAATTCATCAACAGAAATATATGCTTACTCTCTCATATGAAACCTGCTTACTCTTAGGTGTGAAAATCAAAAATAGTTCTGAAAAATGATATATAAGCCAATTTAAGTCATGAATAGCTTTTTGCTTTCTTTACTATTCATGATTCAGCCATAATTAAGATAATTTTAATAATTTAATATTCTCCCAATGTAACACAATTTAGATGCATAAAATTATTGGTAAAATTAAGAAGGTATAAATCTGCATTTGATTGATATTGGAACTTCTTAAAGACAGAGATTAAATGATATGCAATTTCACAGATCTTCTATTTTATTACAACTTTTTCATTTCAAAATATAATAGAAAAACATAATATTTTTCAAATGTTTTACACTTATATAAAAATATAAGAATAATTAAATTCAATAACTTCACTCTAAAAATAAACGGGGGAAATCAACTATGAAATTTTAAAGAGTGTAGAGCGAATAAGAAAAAATAATTCTTAACAGTACTTGACTGGACAAAAGTAATATTATTCCCTCCTAATTATAGAACTTCTCATCACATTTTTATATTATTAAATTTCATAATGGCATTGTAATTTAAAAAGATATCAATTGTTTTTATATATCTGAAGATCAAAATAGAGTATATTATTGTTTCTAATAATTCAAAATATCTAACCATATTAAGAATCCCATGACTAAATATCAGAGCTTCTTAATCTTTACCTTGACTCTGAATTCTTAAAACCAGACAACAAATAATAACGGACGAAGTTTAGAGCTCTAATTTAACTTTAGAGCTATAATATACACTTTTCTGAATTCAATCGCTTTTCATCCAACTGAAATTCCCAATTTTATAAAATTAAAACGATAACTCTATTATTCTACTATATTTTCTTCACTCAACAATTTGGTTAAAAAAAAGTCAATTTTCATTTGAGATATCAAAGAATGTAGCATTTTTTCAGGTTAAGTCCTAAAATATGATAAAACATTTTACTTAAACTTACTCAATCTTTATTGGACTATATTATTCAGTGCATCTCCAAAGGTCCATTGAAAATATCACCATATGACCTTGCACAATTATTTTCGGTAATTCATCCTTCAAAAAATTCTCTCAGCCAAGAGCAATCGATATTTCATTTAAGTTCTCTTAATAGTTCCATTTTATAATTCCCCAACTTATAAATCCTCTGTAAGTTTGCCTTAAATCCTTCCTTTCTCCAATTGTACAAATGAAGAATCCCAAAGTAAATTGTTGAAATTTTCTTCTTAAGGCCTCCTTCTAACTTAAATACAAGTTATTTGAACTTATAAAACTAATTCTCATAAATCATTGTTACAAAACTTCTCATACCTTTCTGATCTTTAGATATCCTAAACTCTATCAACTTCGAATAATCATATAAGGGAAACTGTTCCTCTGAATGTAAAAATCAACTATTTTAATTATTTATTCCCAAAATTGTTATTTTCTAACTCATCCAAAAAAAAAGCACCATTTTCTTATTATGTCTTTCTAAGTACAAGGGTAATTTATAGTTCCCCCATTGATAATTTTATTCTTATTTAAGGGTTAGCTTCAAGCAAATTCTACCATTCAATAACATAATTCAATAGAAAGCCATATCTGAAAATATTATTTCAGAAAATATTTAGTTTTCTTATATCTTATCATATTACTTATATAATTGCAATAAATAGATTGTAAATTAATATAATTAGATAGGTGGATATAACAAATTAAAATCCCTTATTCTTAGAGATTTTAAGACAATTACTTATAAAGGTAATTATATAGTTTTTTTTTTCAAAGGAAAAGCTTAAGAAAAGTCAGTTATATTATAAGGAAATCAACTTAGCAGTTTTATTATTTATAAGACTTAAAATTCAACATATTAATAGAACTTGATAATTGTTTATAAATAAAGACATCAGTTCAAGAGATACAGTCCTAATTATAAAAAGATTTTATATAAATTTTTGGATTTTGACATACTTTTCTCTAGAGTTGCATAATTAAGAATAATAATTATTGAGATGTAGAAAAAGGAATAAATTGTTATTTTAGTATAAAAACTTCCTAATTTTATTTTCAATCTTAAAGTTTTAACAATGATATCTGCAATTTCATACTATTATGATGAATTTCAGAAAGTTCAAAAATATTATAATTATTTTATTTTCATAGCTAATCTTTATTTAATTATCAACTTAAGTTTAGATGCTGTCTTAATGAAATTAATAAATCAATACTAAAATTACAAAAATATCAAATTTCAATTGTTTCTAACTTTAAGGGTTAATGTAAATATAATTTTTATAGAGTTAAAACAATTATTTAAAATAATCTTATTTTGAAGTTAGATTTAAAAGAAAATAGATCATCTAGCAAGATTACTTTGCTATAAATATTTTTTCATCCTATTAAATTAAATAAATATAGTCAAAAGCATACTATACTATTCTTAAATTCTATTTGTCAATTTGTTATTTCATTATATCAGCTTTCCAATAAGTTTGTCCATTATTAAATTTATTTCAGATAAATAGAGTTTTAATGTTAAAAATTTGTAATAAAATTGATAAACTTGCACTTTTAAACCATAAAGATATTCAACAATATAAATTTAATTTCACCTAGATCCATGCCTTTAAGAGCATTATTAGTAGTAAGATATTTCACTTTATTCAAACAGACATAGCTTGAAGATATTTCGGATACTTTTCTAATACCTGTTATTATCTTTCTCTTAATTGTGTCCACTCTAAATAAACCAATTGTTATAGACTTTTTATATAATACTACCAGACATAAAATCCACAAGCATGGAAATGACATTGAAAAATAGTGAAATGATCGTCATGCTTTTTATTTATATATCTTTTGTCACTAAATACAATCTTACAATTAATGATGCTTAGAAACAATATTCTGGAGCTCTAGAACAATAATCGAGTAACAAAACGATGCACGCCATTACGCCTGAAAATGAATGGCATGCTAATTCTGATGAAAAACTGTAAGTGCTGAGCTAAAATATTGAAGGATATTCTAATGATTCCCTTCAAGCTCATTTCATACTTGAAATTCTTCTTGTAAGGAGTACTGAAGCTCTACAATCTGTATTGATGATATAATTTGAAGACACAGTTTATTAGATTGCTATCCATACTGTTATTGTATAAATATTCTTGATCTTTTCAAGTTAAAATTCTCCAAATAGTACTTTGAGATCATCCTTACATGAAATTTATAATAGTTGCTATTATAGTTATGAGACTGGTTACAAAGTAATTGCTTTACATCATATATTAAATACGAATCTTTTTTGTCATTTTAATAATTCCTCCACCATTAGCAATGATGTTTAATATATTGTGGAACGAACGCAGTTAATTATTATTTTATTTGTACCTACACTTTAATTTCAATTTTCTGGACTTGTGTCACCGGTTGTAGTCAAGATAATATACGTGGCTCAGTCAAAGCCTTTTTTTGTTCTTAACTAGACCATCAAAGATCAATTTTATTATGCCTTAATGGTTAATCTTGACTATAGAATAAAATTTCTCTTTTGAGGAGATACATGAAGAAGCATGACCTGCTTAAGGTAAAGAAAGTTCTAAATGAATTTCGACTTGGAGAAGAAAATAAGGAATCATCAAAATAATTCTTCTTTTGTTATATCTAGAGGATTAATTCTTAAGATAATAAATCAATAATGCTTGAGCCCTAATTTTAGTTTTAGGATTTAAGTAAATATTTCAATTTTAGGTCTCGAATAGATGAAATGTGAATAGCATTTTTTGGCTAGATTAATTTTTTAGCCAGAAGGACTGGATCCTTTGGAAAAGAATTTGTGAATGAGCAAATTCAAAACAACATTTCTTAGATTTAAAAAAAAATTGTTTAAAATTATAATAGCCAGTCATCATAAAAATATTAATGTGAGTGTTTGAAATATCTGAATGTACTCACCAATCCCGACTAATGAGAATTAAGAAATTTAAGTTAAAAACTTTCAGAGGATGATAAAGAATTACAGGGGAAAATGAGAGTTTTGCCAAAATATTCATTTTCTCTATCGTTCAAAGCTCATCTAAGGAATTAAAAGAAAGAAGAATGTTCAATTGTTCAAAAGTTGAATAAAATCTTCGCCTTGTTAACCTCATAAAAGGTCAATCAGATGTTACGGGGTGGTAATGAAGGCCTAACTAGTTTCTTAGGGAAATTGGATGGTTAAGTAGAGTGTGAATGAATGTACATTAAAGATATACTGGTTGGTAACCATAAACTTAGGTGCATACTGCCAATTTAGAAATAAAAAAAGTTTAAGCAAAGAAGTCAGTTGGCTTTCAAAGATCATAAATAGAAT